AAATGCACTCAAATTTCTCAGCTCTGGGGATATATAAAAATGGATACCCATTCTCGTTACACCAAATGCACTCAAATTCCTCAGCTCTGGGGATATATAAAAATGGATACCCATTCTCGTTACGAATTACACGATTTACTGCCGTGTGCTTTACTGCCGTGTTAAACAATTGTTCACATATATAAATTTTTTTATTTTTAGGAGAGTTTTCCTGTGGTAAGGTATATGATTATCTTAGATAATTCTAATGATCACAATAGAAAAGCGATTTAGATTTTCTATGTCATAAGTTTTGTTTTTATCTCAAGGAATCGTGAAAAGATATTGAAATCTAACTATAGTTTGTAACCGATTTATTGCATTGATAAGAAAAATTTTTATTTTCTCTATCAATGGTTTATTTGTCATGTCAAAAGTTCCTAGAGACACTTAGAAATCTAACTATAGTTTGTAATCAATTTAATGCATTGATAAGAAAAAATTTTATTTTCTTTATCAATGGTTTATTTCTCATATCAAATTTTCGTTAAAATATGTTTATGGTTGGCTATAGTTCGTAATTGAATAAAAAGATTTAAGGGAAAGTTTATTTTTTAGCTCAAAAGTTTATTTTTTATGTCAAATGTTCGTGAAATTACATTGAAATGTAACTATAGTTGGTAGTTTTCTTTATTGTTTAATAATTTTTTTAATTCTCTAGCTCAAAGGTTTATTTTTCATGTCAAATGTTTGTGAAATTACATTGAAACGTAACTATAGTTGGTAGTTTTCTTTATTGTTTAATGATTTTTTTTAATTCTCTAGCTCAAAGGTTTATTTTTCATGCCAAACGTTCGTAAAAATCTATTTAAGTCTATCAATAATTAGTAATCGAATACGCAAATTGAAAAGAGGTATTTTTTAGCTCAAAGGGTCGCTTATTTTTTTTTAATGATTGCATATGTTTGTTAAATTAAGTATATAGTTCGCGTGTTATTTTTACTCCAATCTAATAATCTGATTTAAGTTTTAAATATTTGTAGGATGCTCTAAAAATCGTACCAAATTAGATCCTTCAGAAAATTCTTAATTTCACGAAACGAATCATTAACATTATGTTTCTTATTTCTTAATCGTCTATTGTGATCATTAGTGTATCTGAACTATAATTCGTATAACTTACCAATTTGAAAGAGCAAGTGGTTAGGTGAACGTAAAATAATAATTTTATTATATATATCTTGTAAAATTATTCCAGCAAGAGACATGTTAATATTGATTTGAGTAGTTATGTTAATGAAAGAAAGCAGAAAGGCGCGATTTATCATATTTCTTCATTATCGGTGATTATAGAGAAAAATATGCTATTATGCAGTTGAGGTTTATTGTATTTTATCAAAAAAGAAGAAATATTTATCTATGCATGATTGAAATATCATGAACATGACACTAATAAAGCTTATAGACATAGAGAAGTTATATCAACTTTGTCGAGTGAGATTTTAGTGATAGTAGTAGTTGGTTATATAATATGTATTTATCTTGATGTTTTTATTGTAGCGACTTGATGTATTATTAGTTGAACGAGACAGGAACGCATAACTCTCAATTTTTAGTCTGATTTAATAAAAAAGATGAAACTCGAAGTGTTCAAAGGAAAGCAGAATTATTTTAATGTTTAATTATAAAAAAGTTTTAAAATGATTTTATTAGCACTATCATATTTTAAATAATTATGAAATGTTCAATAAATAATAATGGTATTTTTTTGATGATTTTATTAGATTCTTTATTTCTAATTTTTGAGGTTAGTTAGAAAATTTAGATATAATTTATTATTATTAAGTTTTCATATATTTCTTTTTTGTGTATGTCTGTAAAAGGTTTGATATGATGAATTCAAATAATTAAGAAATTGAGGAACACGATTGACGATGATAAAAAGGAAGGAAGATTCATAAGACTAGATAAAGAGTTAAATCAATGAGATCAGTTATTTGATGTATTATGCAGAGAATGTTTTTAAGAATAAAAAATGATGTATAAGATGTAGAATAATGTTTAAAAAAAGCTAAAACAACAAGGGAAACTTATGGATAAATTGAAAGCTGAGCATAAGATATAAAAAAAATGCTTTCGAATGAAATTGACGGTTGAAGTAGGTTATGATTAATTGTCCTTTTTATTGTCGATTTATTGTATTTATATTTGGTAAATTATTGCTTTATTCAATTTTTTTAGATGTATACTTATTAATCTATTTTTTGATTTATTGATTTTATTATATTATCAATGTGTTAATATAAAAATGTAAATGAATGCGTAAATTTTCGAAACTTTTTTTTTAATCACAATATTGTGATAATCTTATAATGAAAAAAGATAATAGTTGATAAATATGGTACTTGTATATTTTATAGAATCTCAGCTATTACAATATGAAAAAGAATTTTGTTTTGAAAATTGGTGAATAACCACTAAAAATTACTAAAAGAAGCAGAAATGAAAAATAAAGAGAAAAGCTAGTATGTGAGATAAAGTTTTTTTTTTGGGTGATTCAGTATTGTCAATATAGATGAAAACTCCTTTTTATTAGTGAATGAAACTTTTGTATATTGATCAATGAAATGTTTATGATATAAATACAAAGTTTATTTTATTTTTTTCCATGATAGAATAGTATTATTACACTCTATATCTTTACATCGAGTACAGTATATATAATTCTTAGTGTCTACCATGATGGCTACAGTATTACGTTTATGATGGTCATTCTTTTTTGGACAAAATCTATAATTACCTGCTATATTAAAAAATAGTAAATTTTTATTGTAAGTACCACGAATACATGAATGCACATAACCTTGATGAGTTGATTCAGACGTAATTATATTTTCTACAAAGTTAAGAAACATTTGCATATCTGGGATAGATAAACTTAGATTTTCAATTGTATTAAAATGTTTTGATTTTGGTAAATTTCGATCTATATTAATATTTGTGGGTGGATTATAAAAGATCGAAGGATCTATATATTGATTAAGTAAGTTTACATGTATAAAATTATATGATAATGTATTTATTGGATTAGAAATAGAAGATAAATCGACAACAAAATTCTTGTCTTTTAAATAAATTTTTGGTTTGATATCATGTTCCATGAATGTGATTAAAGATTTTTTAAGAAGATTGGGATATGAATATTGTATTTCAGAATGAAAAGGAAATTTAGTTGAGAGAACAAGAGGATTATTTTTCCCGTATTTGACACTCTCGAATAAGCGAAGCTGTTGATTTTTTGAATAAACATTTGTGTCAATCGCTAAGGTCCATTGATTAGTTTTATTTTGTACCAGTAAATATGCAATATCGGCGATTGAAAGGAATGGAATTGATGTGTTACATCTATTACAATGTTTTCGTAATGTATTTACAAAAGGGACTAATTGATTGATCAAGTTTGATGTAGTAGCACATTCTTGTACTGTTAAATTGATATTAAAGGTTGTACATTTATGTTGAATAATTGATAATAGCAGAAAGTGAATAATAGTCTTCATGAATATTCGAAGAGTTGTTGTATTTTGAAATAAAGCTGATGGATTTGCATGTATTAAATGATATGATATTTTTTCACTTGTTGATCTGAAGAAAGTCAATTCAGAAAATGGATTGAATCAGATATAGATTAATTATATATATATATATATATATTATTATTATTTATTGATTTATCTTTATCAATATTAAATAAACGCATCGTAAAAAAATTCTATGTTAGTTTTTAAAAAAATCTTACGCTTCTAAAACAAGAAATTGCTTCAAAATATTTTTTGTATAACTTTCAGATGTGTTAATAGTATCATTTGGCACATTTAGAAAATAATAAAGAATTTTAAGACAAGACATCGGTCCCTTGTAATGATCTTCGATGTAAAGATTTTTGTCGATAAAATATTCAAAATCAATATATGTTTTGATCGGCTTGTCTAGAGAGATTGATTCATATAAAGTCCTATGTATAATAGGACAATATTCAAATAATGTTGTTAATTCTTCAATGGTAAGGCAACAAAAGTGTCGAGATGTATTCTCTTTTTCAATACTTATGACAATATCATTTTTATCAGTATTTAATTGCAGTGACTGAATATCTAAGTCAGATATGTGATGACTTATAATTCTATATGGAAAAAGACGTTTGATTAAATTATGAACAAAGGACATAATATATGTATTGTTATATATAATTGATGAATTTATTAAATAGTAATTTCAGACAGAAATATTATTGAGCGCCCAAAGTTTATTAGTTTTCTTTTTGTGACAAATAGTCTTTTCAATTGTTATTTCAAAATAACTGCTTTTAAACGATTTCGTATTTAATAAAAAAAGATCGAGATGAAAAAGCTGATAGCGCAATCCCTTCGGGATTAAAAGTGTGAAACACGACATACCCAGTAAAACGAATCGCATGAAGATTCTTTATGTAATTCGTTTT